TTTCAGCTCTATATGCCATCAGCTGATCCGACTGATTGGAATAACGAAAGAGCGATACCAACACCGTCCGATTTTCAGCAAAGAATACTAATTATGGTGAGTTAAGGTAGAATATGCTCGTCTCTCAGAGAATCTCTAGAGAAGTAGGTTTGAGTAAAATTCGCAGAAAATAAAATTATTCCAAATTAGCAACTTAGATTTATTCTGGCAACTTAACGGCGAAAAGGTACAAAGCTTAGTACCTCAATGCCTAAATACCTGAAGTAAAATCAAGTTTCGAATTGTTTGCTAATGGCAGTAGCAGAATCAAGAAACTGAATCCAGATTAGCGTACCTACCCATTCAAAAAATGCCCTGGGCTAGGTCACTAATCGGAAAGCAGGATGAGGTTTGACCTTTACTTCACATAGTGCACTGATTTTTTAATTGTTACATTTTACGACTACGTAAACTTTAATATCCTTAAAGCTAATGAGTGTTTAAGAATGAGTGAGAAGTTATTAAGTTTTGGAAAGTGTGATCATTCGATTTCCGGTTAATTCAAGGGTAAACGTCTTTCAAGCGAGTCGGAAAGCGAAGAGGTGTCCGAAGACGATGAAGGTATTGCTAGCGTCTCGAGAAGAAAATCACAACGGTAAGAATTGGAAAATTTATTGCTTTCGTCGAAATCAGAGTAAAATTTGGATTTTTGTTAAATCTAGAGTAAAGCAATGGTTTTGAAAAGTTGTTTTGCAGGATACGTCTCTGCCGTGAACTTTCCGACCTCATACCGCAATTTCTTCAATTGAAAACCGTTAATGACCTCATGGCAACTGCTCCAAATTCTCAAACAAGTACCATTTTTACTGTTTATACAGTATTATCCTCTTTTATACAGTAATCCTGACAAACAACCTTTCTTAGTGAATCCTCGACGGCATATTGCGTATCTAAGCGAGACGATTGCCCTAAGGCTCACACACACCTACGCACCAGAGTTTGCCCAAACCTCTAGGGATTATGTGGTTTGGTAGGCAACAAAGATTTATTAATATTGATTATGGGAAAAAATGTACGCTTTAATTTTAGTGTTTCTCCAAATGTGACCCGAACGGACTCATCAAACGTAAATCCACAAGAATTCTGGAATCATGGAATACAAATGGTCGAGATCAACTACCAAACTCCAGGATTAATGATGGATTTACAAGTGAGTTACTCTTGTTTTAGTTGGTCCTACGTGGAATGGTTGTGGATTTGTTATTTATTGACTGTTATGCCAGAATAATGCATGAGATGAACTTAATCGTAAAAAT